AAAACATTTATTTAAAAGTTTTTATACAAAACGCTGCAGCAGCAACCTGAGCAGCAGCAGCAGCAGCAGCAGCTGCTGCTGCTGCTGCAGCAGACATTGATGGGGCTGCATGCGGGGGGCCCCCAGGGGGCCCCCCTTCCTCTCCTTTGTTCTTTGTTTATATATTTTTGTGTTTATTTATTTATTATATTTGATAGAAATCTTATAAAGAAAAAAATAAAATAATTTATATACCTTCTGAAGGAACATTATTTGCTGCTGCTGCTGCTGCTGCTGTTGCTGCTGCTGCTGCTGTTGCTGCTGTTGCTGCTGCTGGATACAGATAGTAGAGAAGTTAATTTCCTTTAAACATAAAAAGCCCCAAACACCTCACCTGCATGCATGCATATGCATGCATGCATACACACCAACAGCGCATGCATGCTTGCATGCACACCATATACTAACGCATGCATGCATGCATACACATGAACAGTGCATGCATGCCTGCATGCATGCATGCATGCATGCACACACATGAACAGTGCATGCATGCATGCGAGCACATCGACAATGCATGCATGCATGCTCTGCTGTGCATGCATGCATGCACGCATGCATGCATGCATGCATGCGTTGTTGGTGTGTATATGTTTGTAAGGTGAGTGCAGCGTGGGGGGCCCCATACTAGCAGCTGCAGCAGCAGCAACAGCAGCAGCAGCATTAGGAGCAGCAAAAGCAGCAACAGCAGGAGCAGCAACAACACCAGTAACAGCATCAACAGCAGCAGCAGCAGCAGCAGCAGCAGCAGCAGCAGCAACGCTATGCTCAGTATATTATTTTTAGTATTCTATAGAACGACTTGCTGCAGCCACCAACCCCAACACCCCTGCAGCTAGCTACAGCTAGCTACAGCTAGCCACAGCTAGCCACAGCTAGCCACAGCTAGCTACAGCTAGCTACAGCTAGCTACAGCTAGCTACAGCTAGCTACAGCTAGCTACAGCTAGCCACAGCTAGCTGCAGCTAGCTACAGCTAGCTACAGCTAGCCACAGCTAGCCACAGCTAGCT